GTAATTGTTCCTTGGGGTTCAATGAAATGGCGCATGGGGTGAAGTCCAGCCGGCTATCCATCCCTACTTGGGCGTGCTGTGTGCAATAGAATGATAGGGCAGTGTTCCAACTCTGCGGTGACGCTCGTAGACGCGCTGCAACAGCGCTGTAACGCTCTCGATGAGAACGCAGCCGAGATGGGTATCGATGAGCGTTCCCTACTGCTTCAAGAGGAACGGGAGCATAGGAGTTGCAGGCTATGTGAAGGCAGCGCCTGCCCTTCTGTACATCAATGATCTCTCATAGAGCAGCAGGCACGGATCGATACCCATCTGCGTCCCCGTCTTATAGCATCGGAGCGCTTTTGCGGTGGTAGCGCGTCGACGCGCGTCATCGCGAAGTCTGAGCGCTGCCTCACTGATGTCTTAGGTTGATGACCTGCGGCTTAGATGTGCGGGAGGTACCTTCATATTCTAAGCATGGTCTTGAAAGGAACAGTCAAACCTAACGATAAGGACGAGTTGGGACCTGAGGGCCTTTCCCTCTCTACGGAATTTTTTGCAGTTCGATTTTCTTTGTTGGCGGACATTCCCGTCAGCAAAGTATAATGATGATAAGTATTAGTAGTATAATGACAGTTGAAGCGAAAGTATAAAGATCAGCGCTACTCTAGTACTCGTTTGTGGGTCAAGAAATTCGAGTTACGGCTACAACACGGAAACCTGCTCGGGATGCACGGCGTTTCCTGAAGCAGCGTTCAAACTTTGCGACGGCAGCGCTTCGGTCGCGCTTTGACGCGACCGGTGTGCGCAGCCGATCGCGGTCAAACGCGCGACCGAAGCGACTAGCTCTTTCATAAATACTCTAAAAGAAATCTTTAAATCTTTATAATCACTTTCGCGTTCAACTGTCATTATACTTTGCTGCCCGGCTGCGCTGCCGTCGGGAAGCGCTGAACCACTGCCTGAACTGCGTTGGCACGACCTGCTGTTACCCACTTTGCGGAAACAACTACGGTTTCGATGCAGGTGTCCGACAGCCACAGCAGTTTCAATACCTCTTTCATCGCTCTGCCGCGACTCGGATCTCCTGACCCACACAGCTTGAACTATGCAGTTCTTTCAGTCAACTTTGTTAGCCTCAAGATGAAATCCCTTCGTTTGAAATTTCCAAGAGGCTAATTCTTCTACTTGCAGAAACCCGATGGTCCGAATGGGGTCGATGGGCTGAATGTTTCTGCGGAAAACAAGTGCGGACGCGACGATGCATCTACTCGGGTGTTTTAAGTCAAGGATGCCAAGGTAATGTTCGTTGGGTGACAAGTTTGGCGCGGTCTGGCGCCTAGGCGGGGGGAGGGGGGGGGGAAGCATTTCTGCCCTTTCACTACTTCCCATCGTCGTGTTTATTGCTTTACAAAAGTTGACAAGTAGTCTCCCACAAGTTTGGGCTCGGCTTCACCAGTTTCCACAAATGTCTACTTGATAAGCCTACACGACGATGGAAACTAGCAGTGCAACATCTCCCCACCTCCCCTCCTCCCCCTCCCCTCCAAGGATCGAACCTGCAACCGGCAGCCTTGAACTCTTTTGTATGGCAATCAAAGGGTCAGATACTTTTGTGCCTTCTTTACTGGCGCAACCCTCCCTCCCCCTTGTCATTTTAGCGAGAGCGGCGCACCAATGAGAAAAGCTCAGTGGTAGGTGTGATCACGCCTACACGATCAACATGGAGCACGGAAGTGGGAGGTTACTAATTTCTATCCTGTTCAAGTTGACTTAATTTCAGGAGATTCGTATGAATCTCGGGATTGTGTCGGTGGCTCATGTCCAGTACCAACGGTACGATCTACGACAATGCCCACGACAACGGTAAGTTGAGGAGAGCCCATGCTTCCTTTAAAAACTATCAAACCTCTTATATAAATACATAAAAACAAGAAGCAGCAAAATTATTCTACATAGAGTAGCCTCGAAATGAATAAGAGGTAGCACAAGTAAGGAACGGGAGGCACGAACGGGAGGCGTTCTCGACATTTAGTGGGCTATGGGAAAGGCAAGCGCGTTTTTGATACACCGTACTCCGAATAGGCTGCCAAAAAGGCAGTGTCAAAATGGGCAAGGGTAGCGAAAAAATGGTGAGTGAGGCGGAAAGGTGCGCCATTTGATGGTGCGATAAACTGGGACTGATACGATACTATGAGGCCACGAAGCTTTATTCTCGAGAGCCTGCAGCACTATTTCAAAACTGTTGGGTCCTGGTGCAAATGACGCGCACGCGATGCGACCACAAAGTGGACGTCACTGACGTGAACTAACAATCTGGTCCACTATAAGCGACTGTGTGGTCTACACAAGTGCATCCTGCAGTCGGTTGGGGAGTTTAATGGGCTACTTCTAGCTATCCTTTTTGGGCCATTAGAGACAACGACGTTCACCTGTGAGGTGTATACTTCCCATGTGCGGGGCTTACAGACCCTGGTTGCCAAAGCGTAGTGGTTCTCCCCCGAACATTCGTGGGGCGTAGGATAGGCTAACTCCTCCATACTCCGCCTTAAAAGCAGCTTACGCCGCAGACACGCTGCACCCAACCATAACGCGATCCCATCTGTACTGACCGGCAGTCCGCGCGGCGCTTCTGGCACTTTGCCAAGTCTCATAGTTTGCGCTTGAATGCGATAAAATGCCACTTCCTTGAGCTGCGTTCATACTCTGCGGCAGCGTCCACCAGCGACCAATAGCGTCCACCAGCGTTCCGAGCGTCCGGCAGCGTCAGCGACTAGGAAAGTATAGATATCGATCTAGCGTCTGCCAGCGTCCTCCAGCGTCTACCATCCCCTACCCCAGCGTCTCAAGGGCTCAGGAAGTATAGTTATCGATCTAGCGTCTGACACTATGAAAAGATAGGAGTGTGGCAGACTGCTGGTGGAGTATGAGGAGATAGGAGGTTGGCATTCTTTCGGTATGGCGTGTAAAGTATGGCGCGATAGGAGGGTACCAGTTGTTTGCCACTCTCCTATCGCGCCATACTCTCCTCTCCATACGCTGGTAGACGCTGGTGCACGCTGGCAGACGCTAGATCGATATCTATACTTTCCTAGTCGCTGACGCTGCCGGACGCTCGGAACGCTAGTGGTCGCTGGTGGACGCTGGTAGACGCTGGTGGACGCTGCCGCAAAGTATGAACGCAGCCTTATGCTCATGCTGCAAATCTGAAACAGATGATGACAAGGGCTAGAAGGAAATAGTAATAGTCTAGCTCTTTCCAACGAAATTATTCGTTGTTCTGATCTGAACACAAGAATACGATAAGAAAAACAGATTGGCGTCAAAATGAGTTTTTTTTCAGAAATCTCCGCAGGAAATTCATGACCCTCATCGTGAACTCCGGCCGCTCAAGCTTCACATGGCCATCTCTCGTCAGTTTTCTTTACTACCTCTTCAGTTGTCAGTGATATAACCCAACTCTCATCTCTACCTTTTCAGAGTCATGATCTTCAACGTCAGGTATCGAAACATGGACATATGTATTTCATTTTATTTCATGACCAAATAATATTAATAAAATGTACAAAATTAATTATTCACTATATTTTCGCTCATAAAAAGGTATACAGACAAAGAGAGCAACAACATGAATACAGAAAGAACTCGGGATATTCGGGCAGTCAAGGAAGTTCCCTCATCAAATGATTCGTTAATTATAAACAATTGAATTTTACATAAAATACAGGAATGTATCACATAAAATTCGCTATATTGTATCCCGTCATACCATAGGCGGGTTTATCACATTATCAATGATATCCATTAGATAGGCATGCAGTCTATATAAAACGTATGCCAAAGGCAGCATTCATAGTTGGCGAACAGGGTTTGAAGGCTTGAGGCGACATGGCGATTCAATCGATAATATATGTTTATCATGCTCGGGGAATCTGTAAAGTCGAGCTATGAACACAACCTTAGGTTTGTGGTTCTGCAAAAGAGCATGTGTACGGCGCATTCGCGGGTTCAGGGTAGGCGCGGTTGTTAGGTGGTCAGGAGAATAGGAGGGGCGGTGTGGGGGTGCGCCGCGGGGCATGTTTGTGTTGTGTGTGTTTGTTTTTTTTTGACCGCAATTCCAGGGCTCAGAATGCCGGGGGGGCGGTGCAAGGCGGGGGTGGCTTTGCCGGTGTTGGACGGATTCGGTAATAGCAGAGAGAGGGGTGAGATAAGCAATGGGTTTACCAGTGGCGAAAGGGCGAGGGGGGGGGGGGGCCGAATCGGGGGGCGGGGGGGGAGACGGTATTTGATGACGCGGGTTACAGAGGAGTACATTGATATTTCTTGGAAAGCCTAACTGGGAAGCGTGACAGGGGTGACCATTGGGTGTAAATGTGAGTGGATGTAGGAGGCCATAGGGACAGTGTGCTGGGGTGGGGGGCTTTTTGGTGGAGGAGGAGAAATTTTGCGACTTCGCTAGTTCTTCTGGGTCGTACATATTGAGTAACAGGTTTCACTTTGCGGAAACCTGTAAACTCCTGTTAAGCTACGAGATGGGCCACTTTAGCTACAAGAATTTACAGGTCTCAGCCTGTACGGCCTTTTGCTGCCCCCACCAGACCGAACTGCAATCGACGCAGCAGTAGCACTCGAAGTACAGTCCTTGTTGTTCGCATACGGCGCGATCATTGAAGCGCGTGACTATATCTCTTGGTGGTTCCAGCGTTCAAAAGACGCAAGAAAAGGTGCGGCTAAGAAGGAGCGTGATAAGCGCCGACTCCGCAGCCCCGAGTGAACGACGACATGTGCCTAGGTATATATTGGGATATGCTTCTGTACTACAGGACGCTCACTTCAGATTTGTTTAAAATTACTACTCATGATCGCATTGCGTCATAGTGGGCGGAGATTAGCGAGCCACTGTTCGTTGCTCCTACGTCCAGCTCACACAGTGCACGCCGTCTCCCATGAGAAAAAAAACGGGGTGCAAATGGGTCTTTGTTCACCGGAGACCTAGTTGCGACAACTACGATCCTCTCCGTTATCACGATCAGATAAGGGGACACATCATGGGCTAGCCGACGCTGCGCTACATTGGATCAGCGATGACGTTGCGCCTGCAGAGCGCAATGGTTCCACACAAGGGCAAATGGACTTACCTGCAAAACTGAGTGACTGTGGCCATTGATAATAACTTTCCCGGGGGGTAATGCCTGGATGAGCGTGAGGTCGAGCGCTGTGAGATAGTAAGCACAGTTAAGCCCACTGGCAATGTATCAGTGAATACGGCGGCAGGTAACAGGATAAACCGGGAGGTTATGCTGGCATTACGGTACAACATTCGCTTGAAAACTTATCACTCACTCATCCCAGCAGTCCTGTCAAGCCTCTCCTGCCTCGAGTTAAAACAATTCAAGGGAACAGGCTTGCCTAGTTCGAGACCAAATATGACCTCTCAGCATACATATGTGATGTTTGTGCCAGCATGCCTGTGCCCTGAGACCCGATGGTGTCGAACGGCTCCGAAGAGCCTTTCACCACTGCACTTTTCCCGTTGGACGTAAGAATACCACGTTGCCCAGGATAAGCCTAGGAGGGTTGACCATAGTAGCTGAAGTGTTAGACCCAGTGCTGGGCGTCTGATCTTTGAGCAGTCAGCTGTTTGAAGAGTGGCATCGGCGGCGGTGTGTCTGTTGCCAGGCCAGCATAGTCAAGAGAAGGTTGATGCCGCCTGAATACATTCAATTTTTTGTAGCATTTTCAAACTTTCAAATAGAAAGCACATGGATACAATGAGCTTCCTTCAGTAATCCTTGAGTCGGTGAAAATAGCGCAAGAAGGTACAGCATGTACACATAGGGGTCGTACTTTTCCGGTGCGGAGGGGGTGATCGTATTTGGTCGTTGTTGGGAGAGGGGGGTCGTATGTGGCTTTGAGAGAAATTTGCCGCGTTGGAAAAAAATTTTCCCCTTGTTGACTTTTCGTGATTTTTCCTCTTTCATGTTTACTATATACCCTCCTCCCCACCCCCTCTCCCGCTCTACGGAAAATCTTCGGGTGAAAATGGAATGGAAAATGTGGGAAGTTGATAGTAAGTGTTGGGGAAGAGGGGAGGTCGTACCGAAGCCCTCTTCTAGGTGAGGGGGGGGGTCGTACTGAGACCCTCCTTCCAAGGGGGGTCGTACTGACGCTACCATTTCACACATCACGATGCTGTAACCTGAGCACAAGGGCTAGACGAGGCCGCGCCGCATCCTACACACCCGCAAGCGCCCATGACCGCCAGGGCTTCCGCCCTTTCCCCTCCGGTCTCTGTGCATGGTTATCCACAGAGGAGCGCTGATCAAGCTAGAGTAGGAGCCCGTGCATACAAGTAAGTAGGTACTCCGAATTTCTAGGTGGAAGAGGGACGTCAAGTCGGATGAGGAGCCCAGAGACGGCCACCGCTTTTCTTCTGCGCGCCCTGGGGACGAGATACTGACTTTAATTTTCCAGCGTAGAGAGCGCATATCAATAGGAAGGGATTGATCGACATCGATCCGTTGAGCGGAGGTGTGCTGGGAAACCTTTCCATCAGAACAAAGTATTGGATACGTGCCCCAGGAAGCACGGGACTTCACATGCCGCGCGCGGCCATGTGCGGTATGTGGACACGCAATGTTACCCCGAAGTAACCCTAGAAATGATATTCTACCCTAGACAAAAGTTTTTCTTTGTTTCAGAGCAATTCATAAGCTAAAGCACGTAAGCCGGCCACCGGCGAGCTTCATAGTGTGCTTTTCCAAGCAGAGCCATTGCCTACCCTAACCCAGCGTATTGGGAGGGCTTGCATGAATCAGAGCACACATTTACTTGATTCACTTTAGGTGATATCAACCTAGGCAGAGAATAAGACTCCCACTCAACACTGACCTTTTACTTAACGGTGTCACTTGAGGTCTTTCGAATGTCCTCATCGGTTGCCGAGGTGACATTTCCGCTTTTCCAACTGAAGCAAACACCGTCGATCCTATAAAATGGAAACTTTTCCTCACAGTTCCATTCACCACATCAATGCATGTGCTCCGAAATGTTTATCGATTTTGCGCGCACATAATCGATACTCATTCACCATGCCGTGAAGATAGACGACTCGGCCTCAAAGCCTGTGATCACACACGAGAACTTTTAGTCCTTCAACATTCAGGTATACGTGACCTGATTTTTAGAGCAATAATAAAAGTTCAAAGATGGTGGCGAGGGGGCAAGAGGCGGCGGCGTGACTGCGCCACATGCGCCGCTTGTCTGCGCCTTCTCATCGAGATAGTGTATGTGTAGTACTGAAGCGGTTCTCGGACTATTTCAAACCACAAATCAGTTGCAAATGAGGCGAACATCAATCAGACACTATCACGGGTGTGCCTTCGAGCACACTCGTAGCATAGGCAGCGTTAAGACGTCGCAATGACGCGCGTCATCGCGAAGTCTGAACGTTGTCTGTGTCGCGCCGCGGTGTAGCCTCTGCGCTCCCTGGTTCTCCACAAACTACTTAATTTCACGATGGTTACCTAAGAGATCCGGTTTCTCCTGCAATGACGTCTTCGGTGTGGGTGTGTGTGCTTCCGGAGGGGTATCAATTTTTCGTTTAGGACGTTTACGACGACACAGCAATATGAACACAGTGATGAATAGCACTAATACCAGAACGATTACCTGTAAAACATGTAAAACAAATTTTCAGAACTATAAATCTTCAAGAAATACTTGAGTTGGAGGAGGGGGGAGGATATCCGAGTTGCGGCAAGTGCGAATCATCATGCGGGCAAATGGTTGCTTCGCCACAACTCGAGCTCCTGACCCACACCCTCCATTTCCAGGCTAAGACTCGGACTTATAGGTGATCTCAAAAGAAAGTCTCACCGGAAGTTGATCACCCGCAGGAATCAGCCGCGATTTCGGAGTTTGAGTCTCCTTCCGTTTGCCGTTAGCAGTTTTCTCCTTTTCTGAACGTTCTTGAACGTCCACGTCTGTAGGAATGATGGTGATTGGAAGGATGAGGCGTGCCGGTTGTACACTATCCGCACGAACTTCCAACTCCAGCTCTTCAGTAACCTGCAAAACATTTGAAAAGAGGTATTGCAACAGCTGAACTCATTGCGTCACTCCTGCACGTTAAACGGAAACCTGCCTAGGTGCTGCCATTAGATCAATCCTTGGTTGCGAAACCAAGTAACGTAGGCAGATAGAGGACAGGAAACATGTAGCTAACCAGTAAATGAGCTTTTTCAGGGGGGGGTGGGGACTTAGGGGTGGTTGAAATCCATGAAAAGCTGAATGTGCGAGATCACAAAAACCACAGAGTGCCATAGAGAGATGCAGAAAAAAAACAGAAGTTCCACGTGTTCAAAGGG